GCAAAAGGTGTTGTTCTGAAGTTGCATATGGTTTCTAGAAATTCAAGACTAGACAGAAACAAAATTGTATGGAGGAGTAGGCATGAACGACAACTAAAGACACTTCCTCTGCACGTTACGAAGAAGTTTGAGGGTACAAAACGCTTGCTCCCGGTGAGGCTCGAACTCACGACCTTCAGATTATGAGACTGACGCGCTACCGACTGCGCTACGGAAGCTGCCAAAGGTGTTGATCTGAAGCTGCTTTGGTTTCTGGAAATTCAAGACTAGACGGAAACAAAATTGTACGGAGCAGTAGACATGAATGACAGGGAAAGACTCTTCCTCTGCAGGTTACGATGAAGTTTGAGGGTACAAAACGCTTGCTCCCGGTGAGGCTCGAACTCATGACCTTCAGATTATGAGACTGACGCGCTACCCACTGCGCTACGGAAGCCGCAAAAGGTGTTGATCTGAAGTTGCTATGGTTTCTGGAAATTCAAGACTAGACGCAAACAAAATTGTATGGAGCAGAAGACACGAATGACAGAGAAAGACTCTTCCTCTCCACGTTACGCCGAAGTCTGAGAGTATAAAACACTTGCTTCCGGTGAGGCTCGAATTTACGACCTTCAGATTATGAGATTGACGCGCTGGCGACGGCGCTGCGGAAGCCTCCAAAGCCGTTGTTATAAAGTTGCATTTCGTTTCCAGAAAATCATCAGTAGACAGAAACAGAAATACATGGAGCAGTAGACAAACATGTTGAATGAACCTTCCCGTCCTCTTCGCGCCGAAGTCTGAGAGTATAAAACACTTGCTCCCGGTGAGGCTCGAACTTACGACCTTCAGATTATGAGACTAACGCGCTGACGACGGCGCTGCGGAAGCCTCCAAAGCCGTTGTTATAAAGTTGCATTTCGTTTCCAGAAAATCATCAGTAGACAGAAACAAAAATATATGGAGCACTAGAAATGAATGAAAGGGAAAAACCTTTCCTCTCCTCGTCGCGCCGAAGTTTTAGGGTATAGAACACTTGCTCCTTGTGAGCCTCGAACTCACGACCTTCAGATTTGAGACTGACGCGCTACCGACTGCGCTACCGAAGCCGCCAGAGGAGTTGTTCTGAAGTTGCATCTGGTTTCTAGAAATTCATGAGTAGACAGAGTCAAAGATGTATGGAGCAGTAGACAGCCATGTTGGTGAATGAACCTTCCTCTCTTCGTTGCGCCGATGTTTGAGGGCATAAAACGCTTGCTCCCGGTGAGGTTCGAACTGAAGACCTTCACATTATGAGGCTGACGCGCTGACGACTGCGTTGTGGAAGCCGCGAGAGGTGTTGTTCTGAAGTTGTATTTGCTTTCTTCAAATTCATGAGTTTATTGAAATAAAAATATATGGTGCAGTAGACAAGCATGATGTGGATAGAACCTTCCTCTTTCGCTACGCCGAAGTTTGAGGGTGTAAAACGCTTGCTCCTGATTAGGCTCGAACTCACGAATTCCAGGTTGTGAAACTGAAAAGCATCAATAGAACTACCTGAGAGACAGGCAAAACCAAGGAACCGTGTGGTGTGGTGGTGTAGTGCGCTACACCTCGGAAGTGACAATAGCGCGCGTTCGTTTCCCACTGCATCCACATGCAGGCAGGAGTTTTGCAAATATGTCACCATTATATACGAGTTATAGTTCGCAAAATACCCTGCCATTGAAAAAAGGTAGTAAATAAAAGTGTTAAGACAGTGTTCTATCTCATTCCGGTTCACCAGGCATCAAGAGGCCGATTGGGCATTAATCCGAACCAGAGGAACCTTTTCCTCTCTCAGGCGCTGGTGGCCCTAATAGTATGATTCAATATTTCTTCTTCATCGATTTATCATTTATGTTCCGTGTTTGAGAGGGCACATATATGCGTGCGTGAGGGTGTTCAGGTTAGAACTGTGTTCTACGAGGCCATTCGGCCAAATCCCGCAGTCTTGGGAGTGGGAAGTACATGGGAGGTAATTAATAGTCGCTTCTAATAAAGAAGCCCTCAACTATTCTGGGAGCGACTTGCAAGCTACTCGTGAGTATTTTCAGCCTCCACGTTCAGAGTTCAAGGCGCTATACGGATGTTTCAAAAGCTAAACGCAGCAAAATAAATTGACCTAACTCTTTGACCTAGAAGGCCGCCTGTGCGGCAGTGTCGAGTAGATTGAATTTCGGGAATATTATAAATAACTGTTTAAAACGGTATAACGAAATTATTCATTAGATCATTATAGACAATAACTAGAGCTGGTAACATGAAACTGTTTATTGCTTCTATGCTTTTGCTATTGTTTAATATTACTCGTCTTCACGTCTACTGTGCGAACCCCATCAGTTCTCACATTCGATTCATTTCCTCCCATCCATTGTCCACGAAATCTTCCAATTTTTATGTGTGGCATCTGTTGCTGCCTGAGTATTTTCACTTCATCTTGCATGTCGTAGAATGCTGGTCGAGGATTTCTTTCTGGAGAACTAAGGCAACTAGGCTGGAGCGTTCCCAATTGTATTGCAGAGTGATTTTTTTGCCAGACAAGTCCGGTACCAATTCCCCGCCCCTGAATGGATGACAGGCTTGGTTAACCTGGAGCAGAATCAAACTAGCACCTTTCCCGTAATAATGGACCTAACTACCACTGTGCTATCCGTCTCCCATGCTTTTGCTATAGCGAAATAATAGTCAATATTTAACTCTTTTAAGCTCAGCGTAGAAGACGCAGGAGTGGTTTGTCACTTTCTCAGGTGGAACGGGTTTAGTTATTTTTAGTTAGCACTTGTTAACTGTCTTAGGTTGGATTAACATTTATTGGGCGGTAAAAAAAACATCGTGCGTAACAACAACAACAAATATATACCCGCTTTATTATTAGATTTACTTGCAAGGAAACGAGTCAACACGTTGAGAATGGACGCTTGAGAGTAGATAGAACGCAATTAAGTGCTCGCTCTTGCTTCCTGATATCACTGTGCTGGTGTGCTCATGTGTAAAAAGTGAATTTTTGCTCCTTTTCTAAATGGTAGAAGGTGACAGCAAATGAAATCGTTGATGTGGTCTGTTGTAGATATGCTTTCGAACATCGTTATTTAACACTGCGTACAGTACCCAGTTCCCTAAAAGAATGGTAGCTTTTGTTGGAGAGCATTCGAATAGATTTAATAGATTCAACACAAACATACCAGCAGCATTTATATACGGTAGACAATTGGCGAATAAACGACAGTAGATATACCTAAAAATTTTTCAATTTAACATGAATTCCATTGAAGAAATCTTGTGGCGCAGTGGTTAGAGCTGCCTTGATTCAATAATAAGCACATCGTCTTTGGTTAAACCTACGCCTCGGGCCTGCAAAGCCTTCCATTTCTTCAGAGTACGCAAATAAGCACTAGACTTGAGAGAATGGCAGCACTGGCTTTGATTGATCGATAATCTACCGAAATCATTGTGGAGGCCGGATATGGATGGAGTCGTTTCTACGATCCTACGATAGGAAGTCGAATGCATGGTGCATTCCTCAGGGATTCGTCAATGATTTACTCTTTTCATCCTTTACTATGAATTCTGTTGAATGATATAGAACGAACACCCGCTGCTATGCGTGAGTAACAATCACCATTTGATTCAAATTTTTGGCATACACCTAAAAGTTGTCGAAAATGTGCAATGGACTCAAGCTTTCCTGTATAAAAATTGATTCAAGCTATCCTGTCTTAAAAATTTTGCGGATATTACTATGCCCTATCACCTTATCTGTCACCTGTGATCCCATTGAACGTCTAGTGACTCGAGTTGGCTTCAGCAAACCTCCCATTTCTCCCTGTGACCTTCAAGAGCACCCCAGTACGCTTTGCTCCTTTTAGGGACTCAATGAGCATTATATCTTCCTTGTGTTTTCATTAAAAAGATCTTACAACCGAGTCGGTGATCTTTCTGCTATGCGTTTAACATCCTGATGACCAGTCACTGACGGCTTTTGTTCATCGGTTGTCCACGGATACGCATTACAAGTACGGTTCACCTTATCCTCGATAATTTGGACCACAGAACGGCGTCGTTAATTTTTGATCGCTGGCATAAGTCGGAGTTCGGATTATTTCCCTTACTTGTGTGAGACGGGATACTCCTAGCATCGTCCTTTCGAACGCGCATTCTGTAACGCTGAGGACTCTTTCACCTTTTTCACTCCTGGCAAACAAGTTAGTGAAGGAAAAATCACGGATTCGAGAAGGTGGATATGGAGTCGGGTGTTCTTTCTTCTCTTCACTCCATTCTCGATGCTCTTGAAACCTTCCCAAGCCGCTAGCTTTCTGCTTCTCAGCTCTAGAGCTGAGCCGTTCCTCGTGCTGACTTGCTCAATTAGATAGGCATAGCTGGAGCATCTGATGATATACATTCTGTTGAGCATGATCGTAACATATACAACCAATTCTTTCAACATCAATTTGTGAGAGTTATTTGAAAAATAGTCTTTCCACTGGAATTTCGGATAGTAATAATTTATCCTGGCTAATGTTTGCTGTTTTCAGAAAGATGTCAGCAGAAAAGCTGAGATGGTGCAATTGCCGACTATCCATTTTTATTCCCATGTTCTTGCATTCCAGTCTTCCATAAGTTTTAGAGGTTGGCCGTAAATAGTTTTGTCGAGACGATATCGCTTTGTCGGGCCTCTCCTTTTTCCTAGACTTTAATACCGTTATAGAATTGCCGTATTTTAGCTGTGAAATTTTTATACAGTTCACGAAGACTTGTTATAGACTGAAATGATAAGACGCCGTGAGTGCCCAGAGCTTCCATGACTACTTCTGTCTCAGCTGGGTCAAAAGCTTTCTCGAAATCGATGAAAGAGAGACAAAGCGGTCTCTTGTACTCTCGCGATACCTCAGTGGGTTTTGCTATCACAAGGGTGTGGTCCATCGTACCGAATTTTTTTTTCGAAGCGCTGCCTACCAATGTGTCTCTCCTTCGTCCACTGCTCTATGAATCCTGTTCAGGATGACTCGAATAACAGTTTGTAGACGACAGACAACGTGCTAATTGGGCGATAGTTGGCGATATCGTGGGGGCCAAACTTTTTGAACAATAGCAGGCTCTTGGTGATCCTCCACTAAACAGGAACCTGGCATTCTGATAGGTAACCTGTGAAGGGCCGAGTCAGTGTGTTTATGAGGGATAAGGCTCATCAGTTGCCAAAATCTTATCCTGTTTGGATCTGGTCTTGTTCGATTATTCATGGACCAAATAACATGTCACATTTCGGAATGGAGAAAGAGTGGAGCGATTTATCTATCTCATTTACTTTCTACGATGCTCACAGTTAAATTCATGTTGACGAAAATGGCAACGCTGCCTACTCCTCTAATATCGCATGTTCCGCGGAATAGTTCTTCTCCGATGTCGCAGACGGGGTTAATGGGCGGCGTCTTCTTTCTCAGCCAGCCCGATGATGCCTTGCGTTTTCCTTCGTGCCCCTATAAAGGACATAGATGCAAGTGAGAATGCATTGCAGGAATGAATCATCACCTTGTTCCTCTGCGACTTCGGTAGTCTGTAATGAGCTTGAGATTTTAGCAGCCTCTGTGTACTATCCTACCCAACGCTGCCGTATCGGAGAGTCTTTCGGGATCGGGAGAATGAGATTCACTTATTTTATCATGTTTAGAATTTGACGCTCCCGTATGCTGGGCCGTAAACTTGGGTGATGGGTATAATAACGAATAGCTTTGCTATTCTCTTCCAAAATACAAGAGAAGCTTATTGGTTCGAGCTTCTTTCTTACTCGTGTGTTTGGATCATATCGTATTCGCTTGAAAAAACACACTTATTCAGTTAGTCTTGCCGAATTGTAGTCTATTCACAAAAGCCTCAGTTAATATCAGTGTGATTTAGCTCACGCCGATCCTTCTTCAATTTCATTAAAGCGTCGACCCGCAGTTTGAGAAAGCAAATGTAGGAAATACATGACAAGGCCGGTTTATTTTTCTTGCGAGCTAATCGTGGTTAGTCATTAGATCTTGAGTTCAGGCCATTATAATGACCTTTTGCATAAATATGAATTTTATAACATTTATAGACTATGAATTTTTGCATAAATAGAGTAATTTTAACTTATTGTTTAGGGACCCGCATGATGTGGTGGTGAACGCGTTACTCCCCGGAAAGGACAATAGCGCGTTCGTTCCCTACCGCAGACACCTGCGGTCCGGAGTTTTGCAAATATCTCAGCACCATTAAAGTTAAATAAACTAAAATAAACTCTCCACTAACCATCCAGGAAGTTTTCCGAGGAAAGCATGCCCCCAGAATTGGGAAATATAATGCGGAACAATGGCGAACGCCCAAAACGGTGCCCAACAGACAAAGTGGAAGATGGCGATTCGCCAAATCGACTTCCGCATCTCGTTGATGTACCGTGGCTCCCGGAAAACTTTTGGTGAACTCACTGCTACTGAAAATATCCTTAGATGAAATGAGAACAGAAATTTAATTGGGGAATTTGGCGCTATTATTTTGATCATGAACGAATTTGTAATTCCAGTTCCATCCCACGCTTTCCAAGATCCTTCTCATTTAAATAGTTTCGGGCCAAGCAGCCTTTCCATTCAACGCCATATTGCTGAATTTTTTTCATTGAATTGCCAAAAAACCACTACGAATCTCTAGATCGCTAGACATTCAGCGGCCTTCGTAGATTGAAGCGTTTGCAACGTTCGGGTTAGGCTTCCTACATTCTCTTGTGGGACTACTTTGTAAAGTCTTCTCTTTTTTCATATTATTCCCTTTCAAAGCTACATTGTTTATTTTCATCTATTCCATGCCCTTTTCGCTCTTTCATCATACAAAGAAAATGTACTCCCATTACGCTGGCAGTTTTTTAAGTGTCATTTCTAGGAATCGAAGAATAAAAGACCATTGACACGGCTATGTTGTTCCTAACCTTTTAAAGAGCACATTTTATGGTTGATCAATCAACCTTGCTCTATTTTAGTTACAAATGTTAAACATAGAAACGGGAAGCGGATTAGTAGTTATGTCGTTGATTGCGTGAAGGACCCAACTTATCCAGGCGCTGAATCGACGACACCACGGGTCCAGCACAACTCCTATCCATCTATGGTCGAAAAATTGGTGACAGACTTGCATAGGAAAAGCCCTATTCAAGTGTAACACTTTGGACCAACTCTCTCAAAGCTCCAGGAAAAATCAACTCGTCCAGCATTCAACGACATTCATGCCAAAAACGAGTATCCTCCACCAGCACCCGAAGCTACACTCGAAAATTCGAGGGCCTTGGGAGATGGTGCGCATGAGAAAACGAAGCGAATGCAAGAAGTGCGGTACACAATGTGATATCTATGATATCGAGTCGTGTGAAAAGAATAGTGTTTCACCTTTTCTGCTCTTGAATTTAGCTCTAACGTGACGAACAAGGAGAATATAGCAGACGGTCATCAAGAAAAACGGGACCACGAAGCCGACGACGAACGTGTACTGTGCATACATGTTGAAAACATGGTCGTCCATATTCGGAATGCATACCGTAATATGTTCCTGAAAATGTAAAGATAAGATCAAAACGTATCAAGAACATCATCGTTCATAAACAGCATCCACCGTGACGTCATTTTTTTTCATAACATATTCACTGCATTCTGCTCCGCATAGCGTCGAACCGTGAGTTAAGAAAATTATCTAATTTCTTTATTTGTTTCACAAGCATTCAGAATTGCGGTGATACAATCGAGCTGATCTCATTATTACTTCAACTATAGCGGAAAAATTGCGTTCATATAACGTCGCCAATTTTTATTTGCTACCTACTATTTTTTAATGGGAGAGTATTTTGTGAAATGTAACCATAATTCGTATGAAATGCTGAGATATTTGCAAAACTCCGGACCACAGGTGTATGCAGTGGGGAACGAACACGCGCTGTTGTCCTTACCGGGGAGCAGCGCACTTCACCACTACACCATCCGGGTCCTTCGCCTTCCATGTATCTCAGCTAGTTCTATCGATCTTTTTTGCCATCAGCAATCACCCGTCAACGGGATTGATCTGGGGAGCCAATATCGGCATTGAACCCAGTTAAGCTGAGGCCTCGTTATAATCACAATCTTAACTTAACAAATATCTCAGCATTTCATACGAGTTATATTTCACAACATACCCTGCCATTAAGAAGAAAAAGGCAGTAAATAAGAGTTAAGATTGTAACCATAATGTTGCTGAGATATTTGCAAAACTCCGAACCACTGGTGTCTGCGATAGGGACCGAACACCCCATTACCTTTTCCGCGGGTCAACGCCTTCACCACCACACCATACAAGTCCTTCGTTTCTACTGTCTCTCAGCCGTGCTATTGACCTATAGGTGCTATCAGCAACCGCCCATCAACGGGATTGCTCAAGGAAGTCGGCATGAACCCAGTTAAGCTGAAGCTATGATATAAATAACATTGTAGTCAATTTTTATTTACTGCCTAGTGCTTTTTAATTGCAGGGCATTACATAGAATGTAACCATAATGTTGCTAAGATATTTGTAAAACTCCAGACCGCTGATGTCTGCGGTGGGGACCGAACACGCTATTACCCTTTCCGGGGAATTTTCGCCTGTCTCTCAGTTTGTCTTTAGCAAATATCTCACCAACTAGTTTTCGATACTCTTGTTGAGCAAACACGAGGTGCAACTTTATTCTTTATTCCGTTAAAGCTGACATTTCGGTGGATTTCACCTTTCTCAGAGCTTGGGAAGGTGAAATTGACAGCAAACTATCCGACCAAATACCTCCATAACCAAACAGAGAAAACGCTAAACCAAGATTTCAATCACATTGAACACAGAATAGCTCCTTTGTACAATCACCGCTTTCTATGAGTCTTCCACTGAGTGTGTCGAGTGGAGACGAACCGCACAGAATTCACATGGAAGCATAATGTGCCCATCCCATCAGAATAACAGGCTTATATACTGCCCAATATCACGCGTGATAGTGAGGCATTCTTCCTTGCGGTTCATTTTCGGATTTCTGGAATTAATCCAGAACGCCTCGAGAGTTTTGCGCGCTTGTGTTCTCGATTACTGTGCGAGGATCGTGACCCGTACTTTAAGGTTCTCCCGTTATGTCTCTGAGTCCTATCCGTGCCCTGTGGGGTATTTGGTTTACGTTTACCAACTAGGTGTTCTTTTATGCGGACACAGGAGGGATCTACCCGTTTCGCCAATGTATTCGTCTCCGCACGCCTTACAGGAGATCAGATGAACTGCATCCGAACTCATGCAATGACCGTCTCTACCATTAGGGCAAATTGTGCAATTTTGCGTTGCACATAGACGGCATATGGGCGGTTGCGAACTAGCTGGCGCCTAAGAGTACTCGGTGGCATTTCAACTACGTCTACCTAATTCTCTAGACCCGCCCTTCTTAAGCAGCGTTTTATAGCTGTACTTACATCATTTGAGGTGAAGGGTAGGATAAACGGGACCTTTTCATCGCTAGAGTTGTCGTTTGGGGGCCTCCGATTTCCACTACACCTATCCCGAACTACAGTTTCGTAGCCATTAGAAATGGCTATTTGCCGTGCCAAGTACCCGGACTCCTCTCTCTGCTCCCTTCCCGTGCACACGTTGGATGCTGTTCGAAACATGTTTCTAACAAGCGCCCTTTTCGTGTCAGAGGTGTGAGAGGAGAGGTAATGAAGCAGAATGTTTCTACTACTTGGTTTTCGGTATCACTTCGTAATGTTGCCATTTTCTGATAATTTGAACGTTCAGGAATGGAAGCCAGCTTTCTTTCGGTTTCTCTCGGGTGAACTCGATATACTCTGACTATTCTTTCAACAACTCGAAAAATTTGTCCATTTCCTTTTGTATTGAGCAAAGAACAAAACAGTCATCCATATATTTACAGTAGAGTGACGACCCGAGACAGGTCACTGGTGCTTCCACCTTAGAGATAATCACAATGGCAAGACTTGGTGCCAGTCGCTGTCCCATTGCCAACCCTCTTATTTGAGTGTAGTACTTTCCGGACCATCTGAAGATCGAGCAGCTCAAGCATTCCTTTAAGAGTGCCATAAACTGCTCTATCTTGAAACCATACATGTTTATTTCTACTTCGTGTTGTGTAAGGAGTTCGAATATGGCTTGCATTGCGGAGTCATTCGACACGTTTGTATAAAGGGTGGTAAGGTTGAAGGACTCCATCACGTACGCGCTGCTGGGCTGTGCAGTACGCAGACGATTCAGAAACATCTGGGTATTTGTAAGATGAGCTGGAATGTGTTTCAACAACTGGTTAAATATTAGGGTTAAAAACCACGTTATCCTATCCATTGGCCCATCTACACAGCTAGTGATAGACCTTAAACGATGATGGACCGAAGAACACAAGATCATCGCTGGACACTAACTTATGAGTTTTTTATAGGCAAGTACAAGACGCGACATGTTGGTAAGCCAACTTTTAGTTGAGAGATAACTGACGATTTTCAACCACCACCCCTTGCCATTTTGATCCATTAGTGGTTCAATTTTCGGTGTTTACTTTTGAACTCCGTCTCAGATGATGGACGATAAAGCGAAGCATCTTCAAGACACTTTTCCGTTATTTCAACATCTAGCCGATGGGGAATTACGACAAACTCCCATCCTTATCACTAACGGATAGGCTTATGTTTTTCAACTTTATTAGCTCTTTAACCTCTCGCATACTACGTTTTTGCACTTCAGTAAGGTTTGAGCTGTATCTTTTCGCGCTATAGTGATTAAGGACTTTGAAAGTTTCATTCGCAAACATCCGAAATTTAACACCAACTTCTTTATTAGGCTCTTGTTGTCTGAAGAACGGCTGAGGAAATGGTGCTATTGGTATGGCCCCCATGTGTTGTTCGCTTTTTTGCGAAGTCTATCTTGAAGTTCATGTAAACTACATGCGGCCCTAAGCAAGGTTACGTTAGAAATAGGTTCAGATGGTGAGAAACTCGGTCGCAATTCTAACAACGAGCGCGCACCGTCAGGGATAAGTGTCCCCACATCTATCCTTGTCCTTCCAATATTTGTCGTTTGGATTTTTTTCTGAATTAACCAGTTTCACTCTTTATGAAGGTCTACCAACATAAATTTAAGAAGAAAAGAAAACTTATAAGGCACTCAACGTCAGCGATTTCGTTGATTTCTCAGCACGTAATTCACGCAAAGGACACCTCATCTTTAAATAAAGAAAAAAGTATCGGTTCTAGATATTCGATTGCCTTAGTAGGAAAAAAAGAGAATTTTTCGTTAATTAACAGAGTAAAACTACACAGTTGTAGTGTAAGTTTCCTTGGAAAGTTCAATCCTATAGGGAAAAGTTTTTTACGAGTAAACCACACTCTCAATCGTTATCACTTCACCGATACTGCCTTTATCTCAGTGTTAAAAACTACCAGTGTTAAAAAGGGTAAAGCATAAAGCACTCCGTGTTGATCAACCCCTGAGGTATGCGCCATGCATTCGACTCTATTAAGCATCCTTTAGAGGTGATTGAACGCATATTTAGCCTTTACGATGACTCGCGGTGGCCTACCGATGTATCGAGCAAGTGCTGCTATCCTCCCAGACAAGTCTGGTACCAATTTGCCGACCCTGGGGTGGTGGAAGTCTTGGTGGGCCATGGGAGCGGGGATCGATCCCATACGCGTATCTCAGAGCGCCTACAAACCACTCCGACCAGTGTTAAAACAGTTTATCACATAATCATAGGAAAACACTGTAAGTAGTGAGAAACTCCAGTGATGGATAATAGACTTCCATCTAAAAACAACTTTTACAAGTGACAAAAGCTACACATCTAACAATAAAAATAAATTTTGCATATCAAGTCGAGTGGCAAGGATAATATGAAGGCTTGCACTAGAAGCCATGGTTTACTTGATCTGAATCATAAAGTATTTTTTCCAATTTCTAAACTCCCTCTTGCAAAGAAATGCCAGATTTTCTTGTTAAAACATAAGAAATTTCCCTTATCGAGCACGAAAGCTCTATTGGATAGAATAGCCCTGGTCAATGATAGTTCAAATTGAAGACTAACCCTATGGAATTTTGAAAGTGATATGTGAAGACATTGTGTACTTCAAGTATGTCTGGTTAGTTATTTACAAGTCCAAGCTTTTCTATGACACTCAACACCAACCAACAATAAACCACTGCCATTTTTTCGTCGCCATCTTATCCATTGCAATTCTTCTTACCACTTTTTTCAATATGAAGCAGGTAAGCTATTCACGACCAGGAAAGGGCTTATCCAGAGTAGGCATAGAGCCAGCTAACTCATTGAAAGCAATCTATACTTGTTCGAATACTAGATATACGTCTTACGTTCTTGTGAACGGTTACGGTTTCTCTGCAACCCTATTTGAAGAAGCCAGCAGTACTTACCATCCCAGGTATCGTAAACTGATGATGAATGATAAAGAAAAAGTGGAATGTAGACGGTACAACTACGCAGAGCAAAGTGCCGACGACCAACGGCACGCTTGTCATCCATGAATCACAAGCAGATCGCAGTCTTAAGCATAAAGGCGATTTAAGAACTTGAAATAATCTATTAATGAAGATCTTCCATAGAGAAACCGTGATATGTCCGACCTTGTACAAACGATGAAGTAACGCTCGAGGCTCATCACCGTTAGTAGAACCACCGAAAATAACTTGGCAACAATTTCGATTGTTAGATGAGTATAACACATCTGTAAACGATCTCTAAAAACTTATCTGAAACATTGAGAGCTAAAAGTAATTCTTGAACGAAACTCAGAACTGACGTTCAACAATTGTATTTCCAAACCCATACTGTATAATTTCCGAAATGATGCCTTTCGCATGATTTTACAATCAGTGATACGATTCCCAGGCTTAAGAGCCACTCTACATCGAAATAAGAAGGGGTGGGGGGGGGGGGTTAGTGAGAACCCTTTGTGGTTGGTGCAGAACACCACCACTGTTAAAAAAGGCTAAAGTTTGCACTGAGTTTTCCTTCCAGTTGCACTATGTCCCTCTTGTCCAAAGAAATGAATGAATCTGAAAACGAGACGTAGCATTATCTAACATTTTGATTAAGTACTTTTCAGGATTGTCGATGATAACCTTGAAAATCTTTTCATTCTATGTGAAAAAAGCCATTCTGGAAGTAACAACTTAGGTAGAAAATTTACTGCTCTCCACGTAAGACCATAACCAATTCTAAAACATCGCACTATAAATGTGTCCATTGCCGCATATTTGGCTAAATGAACCCTTCTATTGGCCTCGTTTTTGTCCGTTAAATCACGTGTTTAATGATGTTCTCTATGGCAATTGTACTTTGACACTTCAGTGGAGTGTATTGATCAGAAATTCCTAGCTCTTCAACCATTTGCTAATGAGCATGAGGAACACCTTCTGCATAACCAGTAACATCTACTACGGATATGCTAGGACGACGTCTCCTGCGCATGTAAGGTTCCCCGAGCCAATCAAAGAGTGTGACATGTGTTTCCAAGCGGTTTATGGGTGTCAAACTCAAATGAAAAGTACCCATATCCTACCTTTCACATGTAAGTGAAATCAGATGAAGAAGTACCAGGGCCTGTGTCGAGGGGCAATTTACAAGTTCCGTATATATGTGAACATGTACTTCTTACATTCGAGCTTGGATTTGTTTGTATGTATCTTGCGAGCAGCCTAGAAACTTTGCATCAAACCTTGCATCCCTATGTGGATATATTGGTGTCAATTCGGTGACGTTTGTAACGAACAGATGCACATCTACCCTTCAAGAGCCGAAAATTATACTCTTCTCATGAGATAGCCACCAATCGCAAATGATTGATTTACTAGCAGTGAGTAGAGTTACTTTACGGTTTTTCTTCAGAGAGATGACCTAGAAACGCAGGCTGATCACAGACGTGAAACGTTCTGAGTTCCACTGAGGAACATTGCAATCTACACCAGGTATTCCCATCGTACTTACAAATTCGCCGAAAATCCAAGTTCCTTTATAGTTGTAACTGGCAGTGAGTGGAAGCGTGAGCAAAAGTGCGAGATCGGAACAAGCCAAAGCGAAGACGTAGATCCGACACCGTTGCGAAGTACTCAGACCTGTCGAAGCAGTGCTAAGAAGCCTGCAAAGAATTAGTGAAGTGGAAATGTGTGAGAACTAACTTCAGATTAGTGCACCCTGCTTTCTACAAAAATAAAAATAGAAAAAAACGGAAAGCACTGGCAGTGAAAACTTCGGAAATTTTGCTTCTACTATTTCTTTCACATTAAACTATTCTGATCTTAGAGCTCGCGGAATAGTATCGCATATTTGATAAACTTTTCTAGAATTTCTAATCAAGATTCTCAGCTCTACTTCAAACGCTTCACCACTCTTCAACAATTCAAATATGTGATAGAATTAACTGAGAGACAGGCGAAACAAAGGACCTGTATGGTGTGGTGGTGAAAGCATTAGCCCCTGGAAAGGGCAGTAGCGCGTTCTTTCTCCACCGCAGACACCTGCGGTCCGGGGTTTTGCAAATATTTCAGCATCATTGTGGTTGAGTCACATCCTGAGTTCGAAATTTTCAGAATATGACTCACTTGGTTTGTATTAGTTTAAAAATAATCCAGAGGTTTCCAGGTGTTCCGGTAAGAAAGACCACAATGTAAACGATTGTCATTACTCCTTTAGCATAGTGCATGTCGGAAACCTCTGCTGAATCCTCGCCCATCTCATCAACATAGTCGCTCATTTCCAAAACACGAGACACTGAAAATTACATGTGGAAAGTGCTAAGAAATTAATGTAGTCGAAGATGGTCTTTAACAAAACACGTACGAAAAATAGTGTAAATGAATAGAACTTGGAAAACAAAAGGAAAAACAGCAGAATGAGCAGAATGACAATCGGCCCACTACTTCACGTCTAAGGACATGCGTATAAGGACTATTTGTTCCAAAAAATGTAATAGTTCTCATGATAAGGTAGCAGTGACAAGTTGTGCATGAATATCGCACGATGTATAAATGAACCGGTTAACCCTTACTAGTAAAAGGATAAAAATCTCGGCGTTGTTCAATCCCTGAGGGATACGCCATGCATTCGACTTCATTTAGCATCGGTGGAGGTGAATGAATTCATATCCGGCCTTTACAATGGCTTGCGGTGGCCTACCGATGTATCGAGCCAATGCTGCTATCCTCCCAGACAAGTCTGGTAGCAATTTGACAACCCCGGACGCATGGTGGATTTGGTGGGCCTGGGACATGGGGATCGACCCCATGTGTGTCGCAGGGCACCTCCGACCACTGCGCCACAAGCGCCCTTATTGGAAGTGTTACTAAAGCGGAAAATCAACACAAAATTCACTTTCCAAACGTCGTTTTAAGATAAACCTAGTCACAAGATAGCAAGCCCTTTCCCGAGATCAGCGATCTCAGTGTGAAGACAACTTGGGAAACAGTCTGGCGTGAGTTGACCAGGATGCCAGGGAAAAAGCTCTTCTAGGCAAAAGCGCAACAATTAAAAAGAAACTGTGCTAGATATTAGCATATTTTGTGGAAAGAAATCATTTAAGTATCAGCTAAACTACAATGAAGTCAAAAATCTTAGAAAGGGAGCCAATTTAACATTAAAGGGATTTTGAACGTCTAGAACTTTGAAAGCACAGGGAAAAAGAACCTTTACACATATTGTACGGATCTCAGCACTTCTTTCAGATGATTAATTTGTGTGCATGTACCTTCCAAAAATTCCTTCGAATTTGTGACTGAACGCGGCTCTTACTTCAGAACTTTTTCTTCTTTACAAATGGCGTTAAATTATCCTCAAGTTTATCATTAACGAAATCTTTGGGTAGCTTTGCTACAGCGTTCCCAAGTCTGCACGACAACTAATCATCGGTCTTTGCAGATGCGAGAGAGAGATTCTTAGACAATTTTGGTAGCAATGCCAACCCATGACATGGATGACATGGTTTGGTTCACTCGCAGCGGAATCAAACTAGCAATTACATGTGTACTACACGGCATCTCGAACCACTGTGCTCTCGCACATGTCTAGCATAATTACAAATCATAATTGTGCCTTTACGATGGACTTGCATTCAAGTCTAAACCCTGAGCGAAACTACTGTTCTCAATACTTTTGATGGAGTAAAAAATATAAGAGTTAGTATTACAACTAGAAACCTTGATTAATCTTCTCTTATGGCACCATCCATTTTCATATTAATGAACATATTCAAGCATCCGGAGTCTTAACCATTGAAAAACCACTACGCAGGTAGTAAGCAAAAAAGCAAGAAAATAGTTGTTATAAAAAATTAAGTTTGATGAAAAAATCTGTGGGAATGCAAGGAAAACTGCTCATAGCTTTTCGATTGCACTAAGGAGACAAAACGGTAGACAAATCCACTTTCCCACTCCTTCCTTTTTCTTTGTAATCGTCGCAGTTATGACATTTTTTATGGTTTTTAAAAATTTGTAGCTTGAAAAAAAGTAGAGAAAAAAAGAAAAAAAGAAAGCTGTGGAAAAAGCGAAAAATATTTGTGTCGGAAGATCATCGAGCAATAGAAGCGAAAAAGCGTCTTTGTGCTAATGTACTATGGTTGAAATGACGCAAGGCTATATAATCTTAGCGATTCAGTCATTAATCCCATTTCCTATTATACTTATGCAAATTCCATCCGAGTACAAGCTGATTAAGGCAGCCAATTGCCATCGAAGCACCGAGAAGATGAACAACCCTACCGACTAGCAGAGATTGATGTTCTGGAAAAAAAAAAAGAAAGAAAAGCGATAGCACTGACGTCGTCTAATTAAAAACGACGTCATTAATACGATGCGTCATGAATTACCCTCAAAATAGAAGTCGGTGAATGTCAGATTTCACTAAATTTGTTCCAAAAAACCGGAGTCAATATTACAATGATGCTGAGATATTTGTAAAACTCAGGCCCAGGTCACTTCAGATTCGAACACACTATTATTTTTCCGAAGGTTCACATGTTATCCACAGCACCACTAAGTCCTTCCTCCCCCACCCCCCCTAACCACCGTTAATATTACTATAGAATGAAAGACAAAAGTTTTAGCGCCGACCAATTCCTTAGTTATGAGCGATTGGACTCCATTCACGGCACCCTAGAGGTGAGCAAGTCCACATCTGGCCCGTTAGGTGATCAACGATGGCCTACCCATGTATCGAACGAGTGATTCTATCCTCGCACACAAGTCTGATACCAATTTCTGACCCCGGAGAGATGACGGGTTTGTCGAAACTGGGACACAAAGATCGATCCTATGTATGTTTCAGGGCGCCTCCGACCACTGCGCCACACGCACCGCAATAGTTGGCACATTTATTAATACGATCTTACAACTGACCTTTTCGAGCTGATGCGAGGTGGGTATAGGTCTCCGTCGTCGTTGTCGTTGTCGTTGTTGATGGTGTTGTTGGTGGTTGGCCAACGTCTCGGCGATTTCGCCTTCCTGAGAGCCTAGACGTATTTTATGTAACAGTAGTCCCATATACGGCGAAATATTTGTACTATCAATGAAGATCAAGCTTTCAAACAGACGCCATATTGATCAAAAAGGCTACTGTGCTGTTACGAGCGGGACTGGATCAAGCGTTGTTCACGGTAGCGAGCAAGACCCACTCAGGTCAAAAAGTCGGTTTGAAATGAGGCGCTAGGTCACGCGTGATAGTGACTATTCGTCTTTTTGGTGCATCTTTGGATTTTTGAAATTTATTCAAAACGCCTCAAGAGTTTTGCGCGTTGATGTTTTCAATGTACATGTGCCGAACGGCTGAAAACGTGTGCACAGGAAAAGAGGAAAGGGAGGAATCGCTAAACTTGGCGCTAAAAATAGCCATTTCCAACGGCTACGAAGCAGAAACCGCTTGGAGCAGACAAAGCACAGGGTTGTGCCCCAAAATAATGTTTCCAGTGTAAGTAAGATCCTTTTCAAATTTGCCTTCATATCAAACGAAGTAGGTTACGCCATTAAGAGGTGCTTAAGAAAAAGTCGTCTTGAAAATTATGTAGCGATTATTGACCTCCCACCCAATACCCTACACCGTCTGTTAGTTCGCAACCGCATCTGTGATCGTTTATGCAGCCCAGAAAACTGTATGATCTGTCCCAACGGGAGAGACGGAGAGAGCATGAGTTCAGGTAGAATATGCTCGTGTAACGCATGCGGTGAGGATTGTATTGGCGAAACGGGCAGACCACTTTGTGTCCGCATAAAAGAACATCTAGATGGGAAAGTTAAAATTCGTCAAAGCACTCCTCTAGGTTCATATAAATCACAAAAACACAAAGGCGATGATTTCAAAGTGTCTGTGCAGATCTCATTGGAGGAATCGAAAACATGAACACGCAAGACTCTTGAGGCGTTCTGGATAAATTTCAAAAACCAAAAGATGAACCAGGAAGACCAATGCCTCACTACCACTCATGATCTGGCGCCTTATTTCAAAACTATTTTTTGACCTGAGTGGGTCTAGCTCGCGGCCCCACATGATCAACACGTTAGCCAGTCCCCACTCGTAACGGGAAGGTGAGTAGCCTTTTTGATCGATATGGCGTTTATTTGAAAATTTGCTCTTCATTAATACTACAGATATTTCATCAAATACAAGACTACTATTACATTAAATACGTCCAGGCTCTGAGGAAGGCGAAATCGCCTAAACATCAGCCACCGACCAACAACACCAACAACAACGACAACAAAGACCTATACCGACCTCGCATCAGCTCAACAAGATCAGTTTATAAAAACATATAAATAAGTATAGAAACCGTTATAGTCTGTAAACAACTTTGGTAGTTCAAAGTAGCTCTAAGGCTCTCAGGTTCTCAAAACGATGCGTTCTTTTCTTCGACAGCACAATGTTCTCAAAATTTTAAATAACGGTTTCGTTGCTGAAGATATTCCCATGAAAGCGGGTTAGCACAGGAAAAAGTGTCGGTAAGAAGTCCGATGAGTGCTCTGGGTGGAGCAAGGTTTCGTGGCACAACTCACTCCACTTTTGCAGCGCTTATTAACCGACCAAATTCTGTTGAGTGTTGTCGTGCAAGATGCCTGCAGCTCTAAAGTTCTCAGGTTCTCAAAACTTTTGGACTTTTCCCTCTGAGTAATGCCGCATAGTGGATAGAGGAGGAGGTGTCGAGGAGGCTAGTGATGCAACCGATCGAGAAACAAAGTGCTGGTTCAAGCCTCTTCCCAACGCTCTCTCCCAATCGGCGTGGAAACGCCTTAGCCTAGCTAGCCTCAAGGAAAGAAATTCGACTCGTCCAGCATTCCACGACATTCATAAAGGGGACAAAATCCTCAAGCAGGGGCTGAAAAAAACACGAGAAATGTTTGAAGATCTTTGTGGATGATGAATACTAGTAAAATGAATCAAGTATATGAAATGCTGAGGACCGCACAGTAGGTGTGATGACGGGTCATGTAATAAGCAATAATGGATAAATTCCACATACATAAACCTAAGCATTTCTAAGGGGTTACATCCACTTCATGGCACTGATTCTCTGCTGCGATTGTATTGCTGAGAATCGGAACGCCTTCCTTGCTTAGTTTTTACAACACTAATCAATACCATTATCTTACTTTAGCCCAAATTCGGATTTGAGTACTGTTCATGGACATTATTTTGGTTCAACTATTGCGCTAAATGTCGCCGTTTAACGGTTAAACATCCAACTGTCACGGGCCGTCAAAATGCTTTAGA